ACAGCCCTTCAGGCTGTGAATCTTTCAGAGATGCTTTCACATGCAGGTGCAACCTGTCTCCACATACACAGCAGCTGTTTTTCAAACACAGCTCACAGGACCCCTTTCAGCAGAGCTGGTCTCTTCCATACAAGGGCTGACACCAAAGACCCTCAACGAATTGGTCTCACCCTACAGCTTGCACTCAGGGACTGGTCCAGTCCCTAATGGCACTGCTCACCCACTGCCCTGGGCACCTTCAGCATATGGAGACTGGTGAACATAATGGTATGGAAGATGCTCTTCTTCCAAAGAGCTCAATCTTCTGCTTCTGTGTGTAGACACAGCAGTTGGTGACTATTTCATAGTTTGTTTTTTTTATGCACTGGTTGGGTTTGGGTTCTTGGGTTTGTTTTTTTGCTGTTGTAAATAAAAAAATCCTTTTAAGTCTGACAATCCATTTCTCTCCTCCCTGCAGCCCTACCTCTTCTCCCCCTCTTCCGCCCTCCACCCTCGGGCAACTGAATAAAAACAAAAAAGGCTAAGTCAGAATTGCTAAGAAAGAAATAGTCTAAGCCATTTCTTGTCCATTTCAAAATGAAGACAGGTATTTCTCTAAGGCAGGTCCCATTTGACTGCCAAAGCCACACAGTTCAGACAACATTACTCATACCAGCTTGAAAAAACAAGAAATTTCAACATCATGAGCATACAGAGAGCACAGAGAGGGAAAGCAGCGAGGTTCTTTACCACCTCTCCCCACTCGCATAAAAGGATATGATCGTAAATCAATAGAACATCCAGAAAGAATAAAGTAGCAGTGTTTTATTTTCATCTTCTATTTCTCCAGCACATTTTGAGCCCCTGAGTTCTGAGCGGGAATGAAAACAGCGTTTTGGTGTCAAAACCTGCCACCTAGAGAGCAAAACCACAAATGAAAAGAAATAGACTGTCGTGGGTTTTTTTAAAGCAACTCTCATAACATTACAGATGTGCTGAAAACTATAAATTTGCTGTGCTGTCTCTCACAGTAACAAAACAGATTTTTAAGAGACCCTTAATTATGTATCTGCACAGCACAGACATCATTATAGGCTACTGCGCCTACTCCCAGCACAAACACTGCTGTTCAGTGATTAGAAAAAAACATTCTTTTCCTCCCAGTTCTATAAATTTATGTGGTTTGTGTAAACAGAGAGCAATCTTTTTCTTTCCCTTTTGAGATCACAAAACTGTTGCAGAAAGCAAGTCAGTTTTTAATGAGAAGCTTTGGGTGCTTTGAACAGCCGTGGACTGTTCGGATCCAAGTGTGCTAGTCAGCTATGGATGCTCAGCAGGTCCAACAGATCAGGCTGAAGACACACTGTGCCAGAAAGCCTAAGATGGAACCCCAAAAAATTGTGCTACGCTTCTTAGAAAGTTTCCTCAGGTTTTTAATAGAAGAAAACTTTAGAAATTTCCAATTCTAGGGAAATACCCTGTTTGCATCCCAAGTTCAAATTGGAACAAGTTGCCAATTTCCTTCTGAAAATGGAAAGTGTTTCAGCATTTCTGAGACAAAAAACATTTCTAAAATTCCAGGTCAATTCAACACTAAACCATATTCTCACAGACAGGAGGAAAGGGGATGTATCAGAATAACCTTCCCCTAAAAATCGTACCCATCGGATTTTAATCCCTGCACAAATAACTCACCTCCATTACATACCCAGTCTCAGGGCTCCCCTGCTTCATTACACAGACCAGGAAAGGAGGAAGAGAGGCAGGTGAGCCATTGCTATACATGCAGAATGGTGAACTACTTACTTTAAAGGTGAATTACCTTACTACCACCCATCTCAGTTAACCCTCTGTGAACAGTCCTCAGTGCTTTTGGCTGAACAGAGCAAAGGTTTGATGCCAATTAAATACAGCAATTCCCATACGTGCTGCTGCCTCACAAAACCAATGTACCATCCGTGTGGAAATGGACTTTTGATAGAGAAACACAGTTTAACACCTCGTTAAGTAATTCAAAAGAACCAATTATTTAACAATATGGCTAAAGACATGTAGCATAAATCCCATTTAATTGCTAGCAGGGCAGTGGAAGTTGATGTCCAAAAGACTGTTTTTGTTTTGGTGTTACAATTTCTGTGGAAAATGTCAAACCTGGACTCTCCCCCCTTCATCAGCTCTTTCTAGTCACCACGAAGCCAGAGGCTGCCTCAGCCCTCCCAACCCTGTACAGATGCTCCAGGAGGAACTACCTGCTGTGTAAAACACCTTGAATCTCCTGCCTGCCAGGTGTCTACAGCAGCACAACTCCTCCTATTGCTGCCTTCAGAAACCACCAGCAGGCTTCTACCTGTACTATGAGACTTGCATGTAGCCCCTCTTACAAAAAGCTTTAGTCTAATCCTGCCCAGTGACAGGCACTGGGGAAGGGAGGGCAAAGGTTATGGTAAACTGAGCAAATCATGATGTGATTGCAGGTAATAGTTAATTCCACCCTTTCAACACAATTAAGAGCTTATTCTTTGGGCATCATGAGTCAGCTACCACTTTGAAGCCATGAGCCCAGAAGCCAGGCCCGAAGGTTCTCCTTCAAACTGCTATTATTTCTCTTAAGGCTCAGATCCTGGCATTTCCTGGCCCAATTTGCTCTGCCCCCCTCCCCTCACTTGGCTGCTACCAGGGGATCCAATCACTAGACCTGCCATGGACCAGTGGTGAATCTGAGCAGAGGTCAGTCACCGCCCCAGGCTGAAGGACAACATGACTTTGTAGGTACTTTCAGTCTACCTAATTAGCAGTCTTCTGCCAGAGCGCAGCCTCTAATCCACTTGCACCAGAGAGGCCCATTAGTGAGCCCTCCTCTCCTCACCTTAAAGCTTCATACCTATCGTTTGATCTGCAAAGCACTAAGTGGCATCTTCCACTCATCTAAAACCAGCTAAACCATCTCAATACAGCAGCCAACTGGTTTTAATTAGCACTGTGCTAGGGCCCTGTGGAATTTAAATCCACTACAAAAGTAAGCAAGAGGGTAAGATGTGGCACATCCAAAAGATGTGACAACTTGAAGAACTGTGGTAAAGCTCAGAAACTATGACAATAACCACTGAGAAATCCACCACTAATCATCTCAATAATCCCATATAGTTTTAAGAACGTGCTGACACTGCAGTGTAGAGCTGACCATCTTTCAGCAGCCTCTCCTTCCCTCTCCACCTCCACCTTATTTGACCAAATCAATTAGTATCACTTTCTTTTTGTTGTTTTCATTTGTGAGCTTCAATAAAGTGAGTCTTAAGAAATGTCCTTGCTAGAATCTCAAGGCAGAGCATCATTTTAAGTATAAAGGTACAGAGAGTAACTTACCAGTTTTCCCCCAGAATACTACATTAAAATATTCATCCTGGAAAACAGCATCAACACAAAAGAAAAAAAAAAAATAATCAGGCATTAATACATTCTAAAAAACACAAAAAGCATGGTGTGACACACCTCTGATCAACCTCAAAAAAAAATTATTATTATCACCAAACTCAAGGAGCACCTACTAGTGAGAGTATTAGGTATCAAAGACAAATATTACCCAGCAAGAGGAAAAAAAAAAACAAAACATAAAGTAGATCTGCATCCTCTTCTCTTTGTTCAAGAGAATCAGCATGACAATGAATTCCCCCAACCAAAATCCCTCAGAAGTGCAAGTGATTTATGGACAGAGACCATTGTCAAAGTCTAAATGAAGGGAGAAGAAAAAAAAAAAGTATTTCATAAAAATGAGAACTCAAAAAGTAACATCAGCAATGTTTCTCTTGCACATAAAAACTATTAAGTCATAAAGTACCAACAGGCTTAAGGCTCAACACTAACTTAGCTTTTGCATTTAAGAAAAAAGAAAATTAACAATTTTCCAGATCGGATTACTCAAAATATTTATTCACAAGTACATATGCTATTGAACAGATGTGAATATGTTTTCCAAAGAGACATTGTCATAAGCAATGTAAGAGGCTCTGATGGTATTTGTCAAATGCGCATTTTCAGGCAGCAAAAGAAAACTGCAGAAACTAAGCCTTTCTGTCAGACAAGGTGAGGTGTCTTCCCCATCCTCAGGTGACGCTCAGTTCTGGGCTGGTACAGAGCAGTGCCCCAGGCTCAAACAGAGCTGGGCAGCTGTGAAGGTGCAGCACGGGATGACTGCTGCCATTAGAATCAAGGTTGCATTTGTAAACCCATCCTCAAATCTCAGGATACAAGGAAACACTTTCTCAGGGGACAGCAGTCATTGGAGTTTATGGCTGTCTTCTGAAATAGCTGGTGTCTCTAAAAGATCTTCCATGGAGTGATCCCTAGCAAGAAACTCACTATACCTCAGTTGTCCTGGAAGGCTATCTGTTATAACATTGGTGGCAATGATGAATTTCAGGCAGTTCATTAAGAAGCATTACCCATACCAAAATCCATGTCGTGGAGAAGCCCACCACTACCGTGAGTTACTTTGATGGAAGACAGGCTGCAATATCCTGACATCCACTGGTGAAGAATTGCACTCTTACGCAGACCAAGACAAGTTAGCACTGGTATTTCTCTAGCTAAAGGGCACCGTTTGGTCTTTTCACTGCTGATTAAATCGGGCACCACCAGAAAACGGAGCAGATCTAGTAAGAAAATTCCTATCTGTTGTCACAGACTTTGCCAGATGATTTACCGCTCAATACCGCCTCCAGCCAGCTAGTGACAGGACGTCAGGGTCATTTCAGTAAATCATACCGAGGTGAGTAACACAGCATCTGGTCTCTGTGTCCTAAGGCCTGTATCATCTGACTGGTGCCCGACGGTGTATGAGACACACCAATACACATTCAGGGCAGTGGGGATACGACCCGTCCTTTTACACATCTTGTCAGGGCTTAACTCCAGGAACTGCAAATGTCAGCATCAAGGTACCCGCTCGCTGCCCTAGGAAGAGAAATTCCACACGCGTTTGAGTAAGGAAACTAAGAGCTGTTTTAAACAAATAACGACACGAGTTTGTGTAACAGCACCTTTATGGAACACAAGGTTAGCTCTAGACAAGTGCCGGGTTACATGAATTTTCAGTCTTCTATATAAAGAAAGCAATCTTGGGTTTTAGTCCATCCCGATAAAACTTATAACGCTTGTTTATAGGCACGGTGCTCGGGCTGCTTCCAAAGTAAAAAAACAGGGCTTTGCATTACAGTGCTGGGAGTGGTCAATAAGAAAGATACCTTATTACATTCTCTTCCAGAGAATAATAATTCTCCTCCATTATGTCCCAATGTTATGAGGATTTCAGAACACACAAGCAATGCAATCCTAGTTAAGATAAAGACGAAATCAAGATAATGTAAGCTAAAGACCAAATAATTTTTATAGTTACAGACAATTTTGAATATATATTCGCACAGGAAATTAGATTAATTTTTGTCAATAAAAATTCCATCTCTCTACACAACAAACAGAATTCCTTGCCAGTAGAGGACTACACTGTGCATGGCTCATCAGCCTTGAAAAGAAAGTCTGGACTTCAGGTATATCCAGCCACGTGGATCAACAAGCAACCCCTTCAGATCCAGCAGCTTTGGTTTAATGGACGGAAACTTTGGCCTATTGTTCAAACACACATACTTGCCAGCAATGAACAAGACTGGATTTTTTAAAAAAAAAGCGAAGTGTGATATGTGCATAAAGTCAGTGCCTTGATCCTTAAAAGCATCACTATAAGCGACTTCACCTTAAAATGGGCAGTGCTTAAGTTACAAAAGATTCAGACCTTCAAGGCTCATTATTTTGTTTATGACAGTTGAAGAAATGGCTCTGCTTCAGGAATTCAAAAGATGAATCAGATTTAGTAGTAGATTTATTAATTTGCTGTGATTTACAACAAGGTGATCATGTCTGAACCAAGGAGACACCAAAACAGGTTTAGCCAGGAGGTTTATGGCTTCCAAGTCAAATTCAGAGACCAGTGTCAGTCATTTGGGCAACTGAAGATTAGCAGACAAAAGATAAGCGGAGGCCAGGTGCTGCACTGATGTTTTGGAGACAGTATTCCGAAGTGTCTTCTCTTACAGCAATTTCCTTTTCTCAAACTCCTGCAAATAGCACACAAGCATTACAGGTGGGAAAAAGAAAAAAGGCTTCTAGTACTATTTTATTTTAAATTACTTTGTATTTATCTTAGCAAATCTGATTTGGAATTAAAAATTAAAATATAAAATGCATAATGTGTGCAAAGGAGGATAAGTATTCTCCCACCTCACATTAACAAACAGGCTATGAACGACCAGCAGTGCTAAACTGCAGTCAGTGCACTGCACTCAGACTGCAATGCTGTCAGGGAACCATTTGCTCCCAGGCAGGGCACAACAGGCTTGAAAAACACTAATTCTGTATAAGAACTGCAGCAGAATCCTTACAGTAAAGGATTCAAGCCAGGGAAGCAATGAAGTAAAGATTTTCATTTTAGTAAAGGAAAAACACAACAGAAGAATCCCACAGCAGCCTGTGAAGATGCTATGCTACACAGTCACCTCAGAAGAAAAAAAAAGAAGACATTACCTAGCACAGCTGAATTATGCATTGCCTCTAGCTGCGATGCAATACCTTTTTTTTGGATATGAATTAAGAAAAATGAAAATAATCCTATTTTCATAAGTAAGTTTTTCATTCAACCATAATTCTGAACTAGTCCTTAAAACAGACCTACATGCCAAGGCTTTCCTTGCTCAAGTACCCTGCTTTCAAAGAATGCTTCAGATTTTAAATTAATTCAGGTTCTTCACATTCAGAAAACACAATTCAACAAGTTGCTACACTTGAAAGCAAAATGTAATCTGTTCTCTATTTTGCTATGTTTACTTTTCTAGGAAGGCAACACTACATAAAACTACGTGCAAATATTATCTAAGTGGTAACTGCAGCTTGTTCAGTCAATAGAGTTCTTACATTTAACCATGTTCAGAGCAACAGTATATTTGGATAAGAGACACGCTCCCAACCCATATTCCCTCAGAAGTAGCTTCTGGCTCTGGATGAGCATGTATACCAATTTCCAAGCAACGAACCTTGTAGATGGTGCTACCTAGCTGAGCAGGAGACATGCTGACGACCACACCAGCGCTCTGAAGAGCAGCTATCTTCTCTTTAGCTCCACCCTTTCCTCCAGCAATGATTGCTCCAGCATGACCCATCCGCCTGCCTGGAGGAGCAGTCAGACCAGCTATGAAGGACACCACTGGCTTGGCATTTGGACCCTGTGAAAAAAGAAAAGGTACTGTGTTACATGGGGGAGGCTGAGATGAAAAGCCATCCCAGATGGCAGATTTATTTAAATACCAACTAGCCAGGCAACGATATTCAACAGCTAGAAACCTCAGACAACGTGGAACCAAGACTCTGAAAAGTAGGGAACAGTTTCTCTCCCAATAAGCATTGTAAACCAGAAGCAATCAGAAACTTTAAAACATCTCTCTATGGAGCCAACTATATTACAAAAAAAGAGAATGTTGACTAGAAATAGCATTACAGGATTAAAAATTAGAAGTCGACATTGCTTTCCAGTTAGATTTAATCTGGATAAAGCTCCTAATTTCAACTCTCTCTCTTTAATCAAAGTATGACTGTTTGTTTTTCTGTAAATATAGCTTAGAGACTGAACTGAGTTTTCCCTCAACACTGCAAAAGATGGCTAACTGGCAAAAGAAATTGGCTAACTACTACCAAGGTTTCTGGAAGCAAGGTGTTTAAGACTTACAGCATTATTTTCTTTCAAGAATGCTGCTGCATCTTCTTCAGCATTTCCTCCAATTTCCCCAATCAATATGATCCCCTCTGTATGAGGATCCTTCAAGAAGACATCAAGGCAGTCAATAAAATTAGTTCCATTGAAGGGATCACCTCCAATCCCTGAAAAAAATTATAACAAAAAAAAAAAAAAATCACCTCCAATCCCTGAAAAAAATTATAACCACAAAAAAAAATATTAACTCAAAAAAATTATATTGCATTTAAAATAGAAGTTTCAAAGCAGATTTAAGCATGAAGAGTATTTCCAAAAGCTCATAAGAGGGGCAGCTCTGAAGGCTCTTCCCAAGTCAGTGGGACAAATTCCAGCTCCAAATATCTCCCCCACAACTTACAGAAAGCTTTAATATCTGAATCGTCACCTTTCAAACCATATGCAAAATATCATGCCTTATGCAGACTCTCTGTATAAGACATAGTAGGACTAAGAGCCCAGCTCCAGAATCTTGCTGTAAGAAACCTGAGTTTACTTAACATACCCAACTAAATGCCTAAGAATGCCCTACCCCTGTATAATACTAAAATTTTTCAGAAAATTTGTGTCCAAACTGACATCATATTTTCTGGCAGTTCTCTGTTCATAGCTGGTTTTTAGGCTTGTAATTATCTGATGTAGAAATGATAATAGAGAAGGCTTATACTTTTCACAGCACAGTTTACTTAACATACCCAACTAAATGCCTAAAAATGCCCTACCCCTGTATAATACTAAACTTTTTCAGAAAATGTGTGTCCGAATTGACATCATATTTTCTGGCGGTTCTCTGTTCATAGCTGGGGTTTTTTTGTAATTATCTGATGTGGAAATGATAATAGAGAAAGCTTATACTTTTCACAGCACGTAGGGATCTCATTTCTCAACATAATTGCCATTCAGCAATTTCTTGCAAAAAGAAATTACTTTGGACTACTTCTTGTAAAGAAAAAGCAGATTAGTCTAGGTGCAACAGGCTGTTTCTGAGGAAACCTACCAACGCAAAAAGAAATTACTTTGGACTACTTCTTGTGAAGAAAAAGCAGATTAAGTCTAGGTGCAACAGACTGTTTCTGAAGAAACCTACCAACACAGAAAGACTGCCCCAATCCAACTTGCGTTGTCTGATGAACAGCTTCATATGTCAGAGTTCCAGATCTTGACACAATACCTTTAGGAAAGAAAATGAAATAAACTTAATACTAATATACCTTTACATTCAGGAAAATCACCTTAATAGACCAAATGCCAGGCTTTCCCACTACCCTTGCCAAAACATGAAAACTCTATAAAATATTCTATCTATACTATTTACTGGTTGGCATTTTTTGACACTTAATTGTCAGCAGACTAAACGTACCCAGAAAGTCAGTAATACTGGCTGAGACAACATTCCTCATGCTGCAGCTTTACCAGGAAAAAAATCTAAAAACAAAATAGAAGAATATACTTCTTGTCTTGTATGTGAGTAGCTGATGCACTGAACTTGAGCTGCAGCTCAACAGTTAATAAAAGAATTCCGTAATAATCACATCTCCAATTTGGCCAGGCATACGAGAGATCCTCTAGAACAGAAAAATGCTGCACAAATGCAAATTATCACTATTGAGGTATTTGTAGTTGAGGCTCACTGCTCTACAATACACGTTCAGCACTTACATTACAATACTGCAAGAGACCACAATCCTAGTTTTAAATTCAGGATGGAAAGTAACACAGAGACTAAATCAGGGGCAAAATATTTGCATGGGTTTTTTGGTCATTTTTCTAAGTCAAGGTTTCTTTTAGTACTGCAAGAGGGAAGGTTTCTAGGAAAAACAGACATCATCTTCCACTTACTTCAAGTCATCTAACAAGGAATATAATGAGTCTATTGAATGAACAGAGGAATAAATACACCACTAAACTAACAACTTTAGTTTTATCAACTCTGTACTGGACAGTGTAGGTGTCTGCTAGCAAAGGTTTTTTGCTTTGCTATGTTTGCAAAGGGCTTCCTGTTTACTATTAAGATCAGATTGCCTCAGAGAAGATACAGATGAAGGTCCAAAGACCAAGGCTATTTTTATAGCTTGCATCCCAAAGCGATCAAATGATTCTTGGACACCTCACAGTAATAGAAAGCTGGGGAGGGTATCACCAAAGGTCACAGTGTTAACCGAAGCTGGGGAGATAGCAAAGTTGCATTTTCATTCCCTGATCCTTGGATCACCATTGAAAATGCTTCAAGGAATAGCGGGGCAACTGGATTCAGGATTTAAAATATTCTTTTGCACTTGATGTGCCTTGCATTCAGATTTTAGTGTTGCAGGACTACAAGACATTTCTTGTAGATATTTAGAAAATCTTAACAGAACTTTGATTCAGAAGGGAGCTAAAGGCAACATCTGTTGGTGCTACCTATTACGGTCATGGAGTAATGCCTTGATGGTATCTATATAGGGTATGATTGCAGTGGTCTGACTTTTCAGTTCCAGGTTTATAGGTACTTCTGAAAGGCAGAGGTGTCAACACATCCTCCAGTATTCGCTAGGTACAGCTTATTCTCACGTCAGTAGTGGTTAAGTAGCAGAGACAGTTTTTTTGTGTTAGAAAACCTGCACCGAGACCATGTAGTTCAAGAACACTGAACAGATTTTTCTGCAGTAAAAACACTTTTCACCAAAAATGTTGCTGCAAAGGGTACTGTGCTCAAGTTAGACTGCTGACCCCGGCTGACAGATACCAGCAGCATACGCTGTATACAATGCTTCTGAAGCTCTACTTAATTACAAATGCACACTAAAGAATTTTCTTTATAGCTCTTGAATGACACTATTTTAAAAAAAACCAAGTAGTTATTTCTGCAGGTTAGAAGAAGAAACCAGAAGAAGTCAGGACAAGAGGCTTGCACGCAACAGGGTGCATAACTACTGTCACTGCCTTTCTGACCTTAATTTTGAGGTCTGAGAAGTGGGTATATTTGTCACTTCCACTCGCCATGGTATAGTTGTCTAAATTATCATGTTATAAACTTGCCTGTAGTTTCTTCTCTTTGCTATAACAGTGAGCTCCCTATAGGCGTAGGAGCCTAGTCCTCAGGAGTTTAGCTGTTGGAAGGAATAGCATCAGAGAGCTTAGTGGTCTCACAGTCAAAGATAAATGGAGGCCTCCAAGGAGAGCGTTAAGGAAACCAAGTCAATCACATTACCTAAGGAAACTTTCAATTGCTTTGCCTCTACCATCAGTACTCAGTGCCTGCCGTGGTAGCCTGACTGATTTTGGCCTTCAGGATTGATAAAGGCAAAGTTCAGTTACAAACTGAAGGACAGACAAGCTGTTTATACAGCATGTCAACTGCCTTCAGGGCAGGATGTGACTAGCCTCATGAAGACAAATGGTAGAGTACCAAACTTTAGTTTTAGATGATGCATAAATATTCAAGAACTCACCAATTCTTCCCTTCTTGTGAATGTGACCAGGCATGATACCAATTTTACATTCTCCAGGCTAAGGAAAGAGTGGGAGAAGTCAGATGGAACATTCAAACCATCACTAAGAATGGTTCAGCCTTGGAGCAAATCCAGAAGTCACTTACATTGATGACTCCTGGGCAGTTTGGGCCCACTAGTCGAGTCTTATCTTGCCGAAGCAGTCTGTGTTTAACCCGAACCATGTCCTGCTGGGGAATACCTTCAGTAATGCATACAACTAAGGGCATTTCTGCATCGATCGCTTCATTGATTGCAGCAGCAGCAAAGGGAGGAGGTACATATATAACAGTGGCAGAAGCACCAGTTTGTTCTTTAGCCTATAATGGACATAATAAAAAAAAAAAAAAAGATATTGAGTATTTAGTGGGGCCAAAGAACACACATGACAGCTAGTCATTTAATCCACGCCTATGAATGGATATATTTTAAGTAAATGGATATATATTAATTTACTATAATCAACGCAAGTGTTAAATTCCCTGAAGATAGGACACATACAACGCAACTCAGGAACTGAGAACTAACCACTGTCTGGAAAGGATCTGCTCCATGAATCCCCATTATAAATACCCTTAGAAAACAGTTTGCTAAAAATTCATCATACACACCAGAATCAATCACAAACTAGGTGCATGCATAAAGTAAGTGTATCCAGACTCTGTGAACTTCACAGTGGAAGCCAAACTCATGCTTCATCACACTGGATGCTCCCTCTTTTGCAAGGCTTCCATTTCGCTCCTTGCACAGTGACATCCATGGCTCAAACATTTGTCTCTCCAGTGTGAGCAATGAAACAAGGAGCCCTTCAGCAGCATTAAATTGTCTGCCCTCCAGTCACTGCTGCAAATTACCTCCTTCACAGAATTAAACACAGGCAGACCCAGATGAGTTTTTCCCCCTTTCCCTGGAGAAATTCCTCCAACTAGATTGGTGCCATAGTCCAATGCCTGCTGGCTGTGAAAGGTGCCCTAGGAGAGAGAGAAAAAAAAAGTTAAAAGGCATGTAATAGCAAATAAAAC